AAAACAAGTAAGAATATATTTTATAACTTTAAAGAATAGCAGATCTCCTGATTTCCCTATTCATCTTGCACCTCTGACGAGCAATCGAACCTGGATATAGTGGGACTTCTATACAACAACATCTGATACAGAAGTGTTCCCACGGACCTAAATAACAACTTTTAAACACACTAGGTCCTTCTCTAACGATACCTAGCCAGGCAGGTCGGATTGTCTGGGAAGGATGATCTCGAGAATCTTCTGATTGACCAAGCCGTCGATCTCTTCCATGACTTCCGTCAAAGTAAGCTAAGTTCCTTTACAATGAACGTTTCCTGGGCCGAAACGTGTAGAAGCGCCTGCGAAGCGTTGGGTAGGCTGACCCGCCAAGCAGCTGTGTGGAGACGGTGGCCCACCCTAAGCGCCCTGGTGCGGACGGGAGCTCGGCGGCCCCCACCCCTCTAGTGGCCACGCCGGGGAACGTGCATGCTGAGAGCGCATTGCCAATCTGATTTGACATGTTACATTTGTGTACCCATTTTATATCACGCTATTTCTCCAACTTCAGAAATTGGCGATTGGTTCTATGACCCTATTCCCGCGAGCAAGGCAGCGAAGGAGGCGCAGCTTAAGGATCAAATGCCTTTCTACTTGAACAAGTTTGAACAAATTGTGAAAGAGAACAATGGCTTCCTCGTCAACGGAAAGGTACGTAAATATATTATTACAATTAAAATTCAATTATTGACGTATACGAATAGTAATGCATGACGTTTCATTTACAGCTGACATGGGCAGATATCTACTTTGTTGCGCCCCTGAAGTACTTCAAGTCTCTCGTTGCAAGGGACTTTTTGGAGGGTTATCCACTGCTGCAAGAGTTGGTCAAGAAGGTGGAATCTATTCCCGCCATTGCCAGCTATATTGCCAAGCGTCCCCCCGGTAATCAATAAAAGCGATTGTTTTCACTTTTACTGTTCTTATAACTACAAAAAATAAAAATTGACCATAATCTTCTAAACAATTTTGTGTTTTGTTTTACTAATTACTGGTCTTGCACTGTCACGATACGTCACCTCTCTATTAGCATTATGACGAGAACGATTCACCATATGAGTTTTGCCGACGCGCACAGGGATTTTCGACTCTTGCACCGATACGACTTAGAGTCCCGCAAAGAGCGAGCCACGCGAGCTAAATGCCTACCCCGACCCCCCTCTCACCTGTCGAAGAAGGGGTCTAGCTCGCGTGGCTCGCTCTTTGCGGGGCTCTAATACGACTTTTCTGGCTGGGATCCAATCCGGCAGTCATAAGATCAAAGTCAATACTGTCCCTAACATTTAGGTATTTCAAATTAACTCGACGGCTGGTTAAGAGATTTGGAGACATTGAAGATTTTGCAATATTTCTTGGGAATGCATGTTTCCCGCCCAGGAGGTAGGCAACCAAACTGGCATTAGCAGCGCCCCCAGCGGTGGCCGTCAAAGCACGCGCACAACACGCTACTCGACCAGACGCAGACTAAAGGCTTGGGCTAGCGGGCGGGCGGGCTAGACGCCCTCATTCTAGCTTTCTAAACAGAACTCTATTAGTGTATACTACAGAATATACCATCTTTATACCTGGTACGTATTTACAGCTTTGTGAAAAACATAACTCATTGTGGTAAGTGTATGCCTAACTGGTTCTCAGTCACGGTCGCGGAAGTGTTGTTCTGTGTGTGTTGATAGGTTAGAAACGCTAGGGCCGGCTCCTGTTGTTTTTCGTCCAACCCAAAATCTAAGGAGCACGATCAAGCTGCAGAAATGCAGCCCCAGCAGAAACGGGCCTGTACGAACGAGTCCTCAACTTTGGAGAGTGGAGCAGCTCAAGGGGAGCAGCTGGATGAAGTGGTAATATTTAACAACAAGAGCCTCAAAACATGTCCGACTCCGGAAACCTTACTCCCATATCCGTACGTTTCGTCGCAATGTCGAAATTCAAACTGTTGTTGCACCCCGATGTACGCAGACGCTGACGTCGCTGCCGGACCTGCCACTGCTCAAGGTGTTGTCCTATGTCCCCGCCGAGGACCTGGTCGCCGTCGGGCGGGTCTGCACCCGGCTGTGCGCGCTGACGCGGGGGCACTGGTCGCTGTGGAGGAACAAGTTCGCGGGCTTCGAAGACACCGATATATTGCTAGACCTGCTCAAGGACCTGCTGCTGGTCACCCCGCAGTACGACGTCATCTTGGAGTTTGCCGCCTATCGCCGCTCAACGGCTGGGCCAAGTCAAGCCAGACTAGATTTTTCCATCTCCAACCCAAAGCCCCTCAAGGAGACAAACGGCACAGTAGTCATGTACGTACCAGGTACTTCTGTGCACGCGTAACATACACTCCCCGAGGTTTTTCAGTGCAGCCGCCGATGATGTGACATACGTATGCACGGCTGTGCCTTTTTTTTTGGGGGGGGGGGGCAATTGCAGTTGGCTAAGTTTGTGACCCCCCCTCCCCCGCGCAGCCTACCCCTAAAACGGTCGTACATAGGTCAAGTAGGCCGCTTTACTTATTGACACCCCGACAGTCCCTGTGAGTAGGTACCTGCAGCGGCGCGTGCAGGGAAACCTCCGGCATGGAAGGCTAATGGTTCTTTTCACTCGCAGACCGTTGGGTTTCTGGTTGGTGTTCTCCGAGGACTTGGCCGAGGACGACACTCTCGCAAGGGTGTTCCGTGAACTAGGCTCGCGCACGAAGCACGTACATATTCATTGCAAAACATCCGATATGGAAGTGATCTGTGACAGCTTGCAGAATGCCACTTCTATGGAAACTTTAAGTCTGACTTGGATGTGGCCCAAAAACTTTGCAGCACCGTTCACAGGATTTAGCAGCTGCCAAAACTGGCCGCAGGTAAGTTCTCTTGGAGTGTGTGGTTCGGGAAGCCCCGCCCTCCAAGCGTGGGCCCACCGCCCACGCACCGCCGTCCGCCGTCGCAGAGGTGGTAGAGGTACGGGCCGGCCCTCTATCGTGTGTCTCTCTTCTCCCTGTTGGCAGGCGCTGCCTAGACTAAACACTATTTCACTGACATTCTGGGATCACGACTATCCTGAAATATGGACCTCCGCATACGAAGACGAGCCGGCTGGCCAGGAGCCCTCCTGCTTGCAGGCGCTGCTGCTGGGAGCTCATAGGTGAGTCCGCTTGTCCAGGTCCAAGTCACATGAAAGCTCGCGGGTGGGTATTTATCATGCCTGTACTTGCAGTGAGCTGCGCAGCGTACAGCTGCTCTCGCCGGCTGTGATGCCGCTGCTGGACTCCTGCCCCGCGGGCCTCCAGCGGCTCACCGTCTCCGCTGCGCCAGGGATGGCCGGGAAGCTCCGGCGGCTGCGCGAGCTCCAGGAGCTAAAGCTCGTCGACGCATACTGCAATGTCAACACCGCCGAGGTACGCAGCTTGACGCCCTTTTCTCCCGATCGTCTGTGTAAGTTACTCATCCCAACCCCTTATCCTCAGATAGCGGACGCGCTGGGGACCTGGCACGGGCCGCTGCTCAAGCTGACGCTACCGTCCTTCCGGGGCCGGACTGGCTACGAGGACGAGGTGACCGTGATGCAGGCCCTGGGCGCGGGCGCCCTGACCAGCCTGACGCACCTCAGGCTGCGCCTCAGTGGCGAAGGTGGCCTGCGCGCCCTGGCCGCCGCGCTGCCCGCCCTGCCCAGCCTAACCTCGCTGATCGTGGAGGCGGCGCGGAAGCCCGAGGTGCTGCGCGACTTGTTCCGCGGCGCCAGGCCCGCCCTCTGTTCAAGCCTGCTCATTGTCGGCTCCAGTGGCGCACGGGTTCACAGTGAGTTGCCCTCTATTTCTCGCTCGATTGCGTGCCGAGGTGGTTTTCACTAGCGTAATACACTGCACACCTAAACCAGTTATTACGCGTGATGTAAAATGTCAAAATATATGCCCTTAAATGGTAGAACTTTCGATTCAAAACCTCTTTAATACCGACGTAATACCGCGTAATACGTACAATATGCAATACACTGTACACGCAAATTCTGAGTGAAAACCCACTCCTTGCGTGCCCGCCTATATTTGCGATTCGGTTCGGAACGTCAGAACTGTGCCGTCTTTTTGTCGCAGCATCCGAGCTCCACTCGGCTTTCCGGGACGTGGTGCGCCGCGCCCCGATGTCGGTGTCGCTGCACTTGAAGTATCAGGCGCAGCACAGCGAGCAGCCTCTTGGTTTCTGCAGCATCTGCAAAGCCAGGGCCCCGTTCATGCACCACATCGTGTTCGGCAGGCACTCCGCCGCCCAGGCCGAGTCCTGCTCCACGTGCGCCGATGTGCGCGCCTCTTCGCACCCCATGTGGACGACCTCGGGGGCAATCCACTACGTTTGCGTGGGGTAGACTAATCTATCTCATTTTTATGAGACTGTGGTGTGTGAGTGTGTGTGTGTGAGTGTGTGTGTGTGTGTGAGAGTGTGTGTGTGTGTGTGTGTGTGTGTGTGTGTGTGTGTGTGTGTGTGTGTGTGTGTGTGTGTGTGTGTGTTTTGAACCAAGACTGCACCCATCGATATTTTCGCAAATCCATAAGTCGTTTTGCTTTATTTGGGTACTTTTTTTACCATGTTATTTTTTTCCTACACGAAAGGTGTGTCTTTAGCATCGCACGTTGCTGACATTTATAATATAAATATAATAAAAAGAAAATAATGAACGTCAAGAGTCATTGGTTGCCTCGTTAAATACGGCCGAATTCGGCACACTAACTAGATAGTAATCCGCTCCTATCGCTCGCGATAGAGGCTGCGCGATAACGTCGCTCATGCTGATATTGCAAGTACCAGGATTTTACAAATACCTGTGTTGCATTTTAAGCACCCCCAACCCCCCCGGAAAACCACCCCTGGGGCCACCTCGACCGCGACAAATAAATATCAGAATGTCTATCAATGAAGAAGCGACATCGTTTCCGACGCATCTTGAATCGTTTCGATGTTGTTTCAACATATCATTTTCGCATTGAGTTTAGGCCGTGCTTTCTACAGTGGGCCTCCAAACGAAAAGCATTATTAACATTTCTCGACTCGATGACGACAATGCTATGGCTAATTTTCAGCACATGGATGTCACGGGTTTTCTTGTCATCAGTAAGGGGGATGTGACGAGAAAACCCAAAACGATAAGAAATTCCCCAAGACGTTTATTGGCCACAAGAAAGACACGAAACACAACTTAATTTGACAAGACTTTCTGCCACTTTAAATTATAACACTTCACTATTCTCCTGAGAAGCCTCAAGTGGCCTCAGTCTTATCGCCTCGCCTTGATTCGCCCAAGAAGATCGATACCTCGTAGCGAGTTGCCAGGGTCCGGCCGGGCCCATGCTACCTGTACCACCTTTTTCAAACCGAGTGTCGGAGCGGCGGGAAGGAACCGTTTCCCCCACCACCACGACCGCTCGCGGCCACCGGCCACCTATCTATATGACACCTTAGTCTTCTGAGTGGTGCGGTGTGGGCGGACAGAATAAATACCCTGGCCGCGTCGTGGGTCCCCATCACTTCAGCCCCAGCACCGGGACGACAGCCATCGTCAACCGACCATTAACAATGTAAGTTGTTCCACTGCCCCTACACTGTGAATGTGTGAGGGAGAAACCGGACTTGTGTGCATACAGGGTGGTCCATAGACCCCTTCCTTTATTTTGCTTATACTGTACCGCATGCAGGCGTGCGGGCCGGCTTGCCTACCGTCGCTCCCCACGACGCCTTATGGCCCCGTGTGAGTATGCAACCCACCCGCACGCCTGAATGCGTTACAGTATAAGCAAAATAAAGGAAGGGGTCTATGGACCACCCTGTATATGCGATATTGTAACTAGTTAGTTACTAAGTGAAGTGGCTATGGTTAGTTACAATATTGCATTCTGAACTCAGTTATGCACACAGAAGTCCCCGTTGCTGCTTACAATAATAACTGTCCTTAGACACACTGTTAGAAATTCCGTAGTCTAATTACGGAATTCTTACGGAACTCACCGTAAATTCCAAATACGGTGCGAAACCGTAACAGGATGATTCTAATTTAAAGATACGGACTTGTCCGTATTTCAAATTACGGTGCAACCCGTTTCCGTAAAAATACGGAAAATTTACGGTACATACCGTGAAAAAAATTTCTTGACGATTCCGTTCAAAATTCCGTGGAAATTTTTAACAGTGCATGTAGGGTGTATATTGTACCCTCGCTCACCATAACTCCCAATTTTCCCTGAACGAGAATTCTCCCGCATGACTTTCGTGGCTAGGAGAGGAGGGGGTGAGGACGAGGTGGAGGGGGTCTTCAGCGAAATCCGTTCAAATCAGTTGTTGTATAAATTGCGGCAAAATAAAGGCGAGAGAAAGACTGCTACGCCATAATAATGGCGCCTGTGACACGCTGGTTAGGCCACCCCGCCGAGCATCTGTGCGAAGCGGTGGCCGACCCTTGTGCTACAGATTGCAAAGCGCACTGTAATGACTAACTTGCCCCCCCCCTCTCCCTGCCTGTGTTAGATGGTGACTTGGCAGTTAAGACCTGTCGAGCTCGTTTAGCATGTACGTGACGAT